TAAGGAATTGAGAGCGAAATATGAGGCAGCAGCTGGTAAGAAGTTGACTCCGGAAGGGCTGAGGAAGGAAATCGCTAAGGCATTCAATAGGGAATCCGCGAACATGATGGATTCAACCAACAACGCAAAATCGAATCGCGATCGCGATCGCGACCCTATGCGTATAGTCTCTAAAGCCCATCGCAAAAAAGTCAGTCAAAAATGCCTATTGAGAAACGGGATGGCTACGTCGTCGCTGACGTCATCTTTCCTACCAAAGTGGAAGCGCTCCTGTTCCATACAGATGGGATCCCGCCATTTTCGCCTTCAGGAGTCACTCTCCTTGTGAGTGTACCGATGTAATATGAGGACGGGGCTCCGATCGATAAAGGGGTCGGGACACCGATAGATATATGGGCGGTGATTTCATCCTGGCGAGGAAGTCATCCATCCTCCAGGGATGGATGGGGATTCCCAGTGTAATACGCGGGGGACGTTTTACATGTCCCCGTCTATTAATCTGAGAATTATTATTACCCCACGGAAAAGTCCATATAGGGCCCCATGAAGTGGAAGAGGGTGTGAGTGAGATGTACTTCTCTCCCGTTGTAAGGTTAGGGATGGCATGAAAACGGTTGATGGCCGATTTTGGGTTCGATGGTGTAGTGGTAGCGCGTAATACCGTGAATCAGGAGGACCTAAGTTCGATTCCCGACCCCTCCATTTTCTTCTCATATTATCCAAACTCTCTTCCCCCACCCCCTCCGGGGGCCTATTAGGTTCTCGAATATAGATCCGATTGCCGCAAAGGCCGGATAACTGTAAGCGAGCCCGAGAGAGGGAGACGTACTGTACACCCAAACGCAGGCTGAAGATTCAATGGGTGAAGCACATGCTATCGCGCTGTGCTCACGCGTGTGCCATGTGTGCGCGCGCACATGCCACTGTCACCACGACCATGGTAGAAGTTATATGGAATATGGAGACATGTAATACGCCAATGTGGCGTCAAATTAAGGTTCAATTCTTGTAGTGCTGTTTATGTTTGCAAAACTAAAAGTCATCTTGATTTACATTGTGTTCTAGGAAACTTGAATTTGGTAAATTTCAAACTCAAGCTTAGCCATCCATCATTGAAGGACTTCTTGAGCTTCTTTTGAAAATCCAATTCTTACGCGTTTCCTTATGAATTTTATGTATTCCTTACATACCCAAAAGAAAACACGTATGATTCAGAACTCCTAGATGTAATCCTTTCAGCTCTCCCTTTCACTTTCTACATGCAGAATAAATGATGACTACTTTAAGAACCAGAAAAATATTCCGATGCCATGAAAGACTGTCATAAAGAAGTTTTCTCTAAGCCCTCAAGTCCTTTAAACGCGGAGAATTCAGGCTCAGTGATGCAGGGGAAATTCCAACCATGAGTCCAATTCTAAAAAGACAATATTTCATAATTGTATGAAAACTCCATGAATATGCGGTTATGTCATTGGAACCGAAACTGACGTATTTCTAGCGTAACCTTAAGAATTCGTGGATAATTTGAATTACCGCCCAAATGTTCTTCAAAGATGAATGCAGATCAGAGTGGCAGCGGAAAAACGGCCACGGGAGAAACGGCAAGAGCAGCCGATATGGAGATTAAAAAGGCTTCAAAGACGGACTCCTCCTCGTCTGATGAGGAAGAGGGCGAAGAACAAAGAAAAATAGAGGAAGAGAGAAAAAAACACCGAGAAGAGCGCTGGAACAGGAGTAACGAAAAATGGGAGCGAAAAGAAACAGAGCAACGAGAAAGGGATAAGGAACCCCTGCAGCGGCGTTTGTTGCGGGCAATCGCAGAGACGGAAGATTTAGCGCAGAATATCCGCGGATTGGCTGAAACTCTGAAGACCGCGCCTGAGAAAATTCAAAAAGCCATCGAAGACGACGAAAGGTTCGTACTTTCAGGGACCACGGTATCGCTGAACATTCAGTTATCGTTATGTCAAGGTCACTTGACCGAAGGCTGCCATGAAGAGCAGTGCCATTCGTTGCACATTTGCGCGAAATACCTCGCGGAACTCTGCACCGATGCCAAGTGCGAAGTGGGCCACGACATCGAAACGGACCACAACCGCCGCCTCCTCCGTCCATTCGACTTGGAGAACGTCGACTGCCGAATGCTGAAAAAGTTCCTCAAGCCGGATTCGATCACTCCTGAACCGTGCTTGGAGTACAACCTCTCGCGATGCAATGAAGATGTTTGCCCCAGGATGCACATATGCGCGGATTGGGTCTCGGGAGACTGTGGGGCGTGCGCGCTGAATCATGACGTCTTGGAACTGCGATGCGAAGAATTGCTGCGACAGGCGAATGTTAACTTGAGTCGATCGAGAAGGGAATTAAAACTGCATCTGAGGAAGAATTGGGTCTCCAACATACAGGAGATTTCGAAACGCAAGAGAGAACGGGAAGAAGTAGAAAAGTTTCGCCAGGCCCAGGTTTCTCCTGCCCCATCATCTGAGAATCAGGATTTTACAGTCGTAAGTATTGCAATCGTTACTTAAAAATCGCATTAATGAAAAAGACGCAATATCCGTGATATATTTTACTCAAAGTTTTTGTTTGACCACCTAAACACCCACTAAAAGGCAGCTATAGATGTTGCTTTAGGATAGAGATAGGAAAATACCTCGTCCCATGCATACTGACATTGGCAAATTTCCTTTAAAAGTTTGAAAGAGATGAGGAATTTTTTTTAATTTGCTTTGTTCAATGTAGAACCGTTTTCAGACGAGTCAGCCCATACTAAGTATTGAATTAACCATTTCTCATCTAAATTGAATAAAAGAAGATTATGAAAATGTACATGAATTTTGCAACAACGTTAACGAATTAGGCAATTTCTCGTTTCCAGAATTATAAATTATTTCTCTATCGAAAAGAAAAACCCGGATTTTCTATTTGGAAACCCATAAATTAACACGAGAGTGGCAGAAAATTATTTGCACATACTCACTCAATTCATCCACAATAATTAATTATGGTGAATTATGGGGACCGTCACTAAGCACTTGACGCTTCCCAATTAGGCAGTGTAGTGTCAATGAACGCGACATTGAAGTATCAGGGAATAATAATTTAAGAATCAAATGATTCTTCAATCTGATAGCTCTTCTGTCACAATACCATAAAGGTGCTTATTAAGATATTGCACTTCCTGGGTGCCAATTCCATATAGGATGATCGGCCACAACGATTCGACAATTGAAATTTAGGAATACTACATCAGGAAGATGTGGACGATGGCTGACCAGCTATGACACGAGCGGCATGGCACCCTTCATGTCACAGCTGTAGCCAGGGTCCCGATACTCGATGGCCCGCTGAACGACCTGGTTCCTGGGTAACATATAGCTGCTGGACTGCTTACTGCGTTTCTGGATCGTACTTGACGGTCCGTGGAAGACGAAAATGACGGCAATACGCGATTTATATCACGCTTGTCAGTGTGGCCCATTGAGCATTGACTATGATGTTCTGGATCTGAGTGCCTTTCTATGCATTATTCATGATGTTACACACTCATCACTAAAAAATGCCATCACACATTCCAAAAGTAGGTCCTAAAATGCTAACTGTGTGAATCTTGGGAACGAAATGGAAGTTGGGATTCTTGTTAACCTGTGCAATTCTCACAAATATGTCACGGTTAAAATTGGTCAATTGAATCTCTACATCCAAAGTTCACCCAAGTTTTGCACTATAAAATTTTATTGTCGCAAATGGGAAATTTTGTCCTTGAAATTAAGCATATATGAAATATTTTTCATTTTCAATTTCAAAAAGTGCATTTGTCTATTCAAAATGAATGAATACCATACAATTTCCATTAGCGAAAGGTTGTGAAAAATAGCATTTAGAAAACTCTGGGATTCCCTTAGGAAAAGATGGCTAGAATTTATTTGATGGCCCATAAGTATTAGGGTGCCCATTCATTCTCATGAATTTTGCAAATTTTCTTTCAATGATTCAGCATACCCCTTGGACACATGGCATGAAATTAATGCAAGTGTAGGCCACTGTCAATGAATTGACTCCTCATTTTGAACATTCTTATCAATACCCACGATAAATTCTGATGGGAATGCAATATTAGTTTTCTACCCAAAGTGCAGATCCTTTTTTGTCCCCTTGATCCTTCTATGCTGGTAATTAGGGTAGTTGAAAACAAAGTAGTTTAAAACTGCCCTGTTTTAACCGGGCCAAGGAGATGGAAGGACTTTTATCTTACATTTGATCAGCTCAAATGTGGTTACCTGCGAAAGTGGAGGACTTGAGGATTGGAGAATTTTACCCTTTGGGAGAAATGAATCACATTTTAATGCAACTCAATCTTTTTAAATACGATCTGTTTTGAAATTATTTTCTAATTTTTCTATATATAGAGTGAATTGGAGCGGAAGCCGACACTGGCTCAGATTAAGCAAAATTGCAAAAACATTGATGGTTTTATCTATGAGCTCCCACGGAAGAAGGTGATGGAAGATAAAAAGAATCGATTAGCCAAATATGAGATCGGGGAAAGAGGATCCGAAGACGGGCTGGGGAAGGTGTTAATGCTCCTCGGAGGCACAGGAACAGGTTCTGCCCATCTCATTCTGAGATATTACTGGTTTTATTGTGTATGAACTCCTGTCGAAACATTATCTCTCCCTCCCCCTTAGGAAAGAGTACCATAATCAATGCGATGGTGAATTACGTGTATGGAGTGAAGTGGGAAGACGACTTTCGTTTCAAAGTGATTGTGGAAGAACACGAAAGTGGAAAATATGAAAATCATAGTCAAACGCAATGGATCACGGTGTACACCCTACACAGGCAGCCGAGCTTTGCTATGCCTTTTACCTTGACTGTCATCGATACCCCTGGGTTTGGACAAACAAATGGGATCATGGCCGATGAAGACTTGAGGGACCAGATCCGAGAATTCTTCTCCAATTTTGGGAATGTTGGTGTTGATCAACTTAATGGAATCGGCTTCGTGGTAGTGGATGCTGAGGCCAGACTTACGACCACACAAAAGTACATATTTGATTCCATGATGTCAGTGTTTGGAAGGGATATGGAAGGCAATATCTACGCTCTAGTAACATTCGCGAACGTCCTAAGTCCTCCAGTCTTACAAACCCTCAAAGAAGGAGACATCCCTTATCGAACCTATTATAAGTTCAATAATTCTGCTTTTTTCAATCGTCCTGATGACTACGACGCTGATTTTGTTCAGATTTTCTGGGAAATGAACATGAAATTTATGCACACATTTTTCAAAGACTTTCAAAAGTCGAAATCAGTCATTCTGATGCTGACAAACAAAGTTTTATTGGAGCGACGACGACTACAGACAGCTCTACAGGACATACAGCCCCAATTCATTGCTGGTAAGAGATCATTACAAATCTATTCTGGTAATAGCAAGCAGCATGGATTAAGCTAACGTCACTTACTAATTTAAGATTTTCTTCTGTGTGTTTGATATCATTGTGTTTAATAATAATACTAACAAAAATTCAACATGTGTAAACAAAACGAGAGTTAGGAGAGCGCCATACCGTGGCGATGACGTAACACGATCCTTTCATGTGGTGAAAAAAAAAATTTCCTCCTCGCAATGGAGGAGTCTCTAGTTGTATCCCTACTATGGGGTTTGTCATTTTACCATTTTATCAATCCAGTTCGTGAATCTCAGGAATTTGGACATCACAAACGTGATTTTCTTCCCGTGGCAATAGTAAAATACTCACCTTCGCATGGCAATTCTACCATTCCGCACCTCTTGAGACGATAAAGATCTTAAATGGATTGCATGGAACTGACATTAGCTTAATAAAGCTTTAAACCACCTTTAGCTCAGCTAAAGGAGGTGTAAAGGAGGTTTAAGCCTCCATTTGTAGTGCTAAAGGAAGTTTAAAGTTCCATTCGATTAAAGTCAATTCCATGCAATCCACCCCTCATCTTTCTGTTACGTCGACCACATTCTCTCCGAACTAACTTCTGCTGCCTGTGAGACTTTCAATTAATAATTTCACTGTCATCCTAACTTGTTGCCTTACCATAAAAAACTGTTATTGTGACTTCGTCTTTTTTTATATGGATAAGAGACAATAAGATAAGAAAACAATCTATAGTAACAGTGAAGTTATTCGTCCAAAACCAGCCTCACTGGCGTTTTAATTTACCTTTAAAAGCTGTCTGTGAACCCTCCAGAGATATCGCGCCCAATGATTTCTGCAGACTCCTAGCGAGACAAGTTTTTCTCTAGCAAAAATTAAAAGATTATGCCAGTGGCATGGAGGTTTCACATTTCAAAAAAGGAAAAATGAACAGGTTGCCATATCTAGAACTGCAAAGTAAAAAAAACACTGCAGCGTTATGGCGACAAAGACGCGAAAACGAGCAGACAGCAGGATGACGTAACCTGACAATAACTCCAAAAACTTAGTGTTTCATTTTTAAGCAAAAGCTACCATCTTGCACAATTTTGCAATCCCCGTATATGTCCAGTTTCATCAATATACACACATATACACACATTTCGATTTAAATCTGCCCTAATCTTGGGCTAATATTACCTAAGATACAAGGTAATTCAATTCACGATTGTTGGATGCATTCATTTTTCCATACAGGCTTAGGGAGGTTGGAACAACTTAGAAAAGAACTCGCAGTTCTGGAACGATACGGATCGATGTTTGACCCAAACGAGAACATTACATACACCTTCAAGATGTTGAAACAAAAACGAGTGAACCTAAGCCCTGACGAATGTGCTATGAACTGCCTAAGATGCGACTTCACATGCCACTATCCATGCATAGAAAACGAGATGGAGACGAATTGTGAAGCGATGGGCATCGGGATGATGGAAAGTGCAGTGAAACACTGTCTTGTTTGTCCCGACCATTGTCCACCGGACCAGCATGTGAAAAGCAAATATCGCCTCGAACTGCATGAGGAAGAGGTGACGAGAACTATTAAGGAATTGAGAGCGAAATATGAGGCAGCAGCTGGTAAGAAGTTGACTCCGGAAGGGCTGAGGAAGGAAATCGCTAAGGCATTCAATAGGGAATCCGCGAACATGATGGATTCAACCAACAAAGCACGCGAATGTTTACAGACGCTCAACCAAATAGCATTGAGGCCCGTTCCCTTGGGGGTCATTGAATATTCGGATTTAATGATCGAGTCAGAATGGAGAAATGGCAGACCCAGTCAAACCCAGAGTATCTCATACATGGAAGTCATACGGGCCAAGGCAGTACTAATTCAGATGCTGAATAAACCAGATCCACCTAGCGTCTCCGATTACCTGAACCTCTTCATTGACATCGAGAAAAGACTAGGCACATCTGGGAAAGTCCAGAGGATCAAATATCTCGAAGAAGCAAAAGCAAAAATAAGGGAGGCGTTATAATGATCTGATCCCTTAAGATTACATGATGCAGGTTTGAATAATGCACGGATCACCTTTGCAAGTATGGTAACGGGGACAAACAGTGAAGTTACTTGTCAAAAATCCATCCCCCCCCCCATCGCCTTGTTCCATTACCATTCAGAATTAATTATCCAGCCATTCAAACATGATAGTGTTACTATGGAGATACACGCCTAAACTCCCCAAATTAAGCTCGACATTCTCCGATTGTTGGGAGCATCCAAGAATTGACTAAGCCAGCTAACTTGCACATGCAACCGGCATGCGCCCCTGGTACTGCTCGATCGATACTTCTTGATATATATTTTCTCGACCGGTGACACCTGGAAGATACTTAAATCCAAGATACAGTATATTCGACAAGGGAGAGTAATTGTGACTCCAGAAAAAGGAGAGAAGAAAGTTCATTTCTTGCTGTGACTAATCAAAGTGACTTGTCTATGAGATTCGTCAGCCCCAACTCGAAGAAAAATTCAAAACTAGTCCTGTGGGCGACGCGAATGGTTACATTGACTGATACCATCGCATTTTCAATGGCTGCAATCACTCCATTGTCCACTTGCTCCTGCGAGCCCGGAATGGTACGATCCTATACGACATAGAGTCTATTCTGCTTCAATTAAGAACTCCCAGGAAAAACCTCGCGAAGAGAGAGAGTCTTTCGATTGAGCAGATAAACTGAAGCACCCTCATGAAGCACAGTCGAGGATGAATTCAAATCCAAAATAATTACTGATATTGGTCCTCGAGTCCGTTTTATGTACACCCCTGCGACTTCCTGGAGGGCATTGTTGTGGGTGTCACTGTGGATGGAGATGACGAGGTTAGTCGAATAGGTATTTTTAATTACAAATGGCTCTTGGAATGGCGCCGCAGCGACGGCGTCTGATGGCATCCATGCCGTGGTGACGGTATGAACATGGACGATATGCCAATGTTTTCATACCGCGGCGATAATATAAAAGAACGTCACGAGGACCAAATACCGAGATTTGGTGAAGACACCGGCATACCGCAACACACTACCTACAACGAACGAAATGGCGCATGCGCAATGCATTTTTGGCCAAGTTGAGACCTATCTCGTCCATTGAATCAGCCAACGCTGATTCAATCTCGCAATGTTCTTCCACTTGGAATATTATGGATGGCGAATCTTTGATGCTCTTGCAGTTTTGCATCAACATTACAGTGTAGATTGTGGGTTTTGGGCAAGCAGCCTCACCGTTCTTCCCTCGTCACTCTTCCTTCCCCCCTTGTATTCAGGTAGTTATGAAAATGAAGATGCTACTTCAATTGCAATCGGTGCACCTGATGAAGATGCAACTTCTACGGGGCCCCAAAGTGCTAAATGGAAAATAATAATAGAAATGTTGATGCAACTACAATCGAATAAATTACTTTGACTCCGTCCTGCATAAAATGTCACATTTAATCTTTGAAATCCTGAGTCTCTCTCCCCCTCTCTTTCGAATGAAATGAGAGGTGGAGAACAAACAATGATGAGCATTGGTATTACTGCGTAATATCTCGTTTTCCTAAGCGTTTTCCACAAGAGGTCCATTACTGCAAGACCTGTTCTTAACTCCTGCTGAATGTGAGCTGGAAAGCGATTACTCTCTGAACTGCCGATGTCGCGAGTGTGGAATGCAGTGAGGGACAAGACTGTGTGAATGTTTGGCACAGTTCCAGACGATGACTCATAACTCGAGTATAATGAGATCAATTTAACTTAAATAGCTGTCAATCATACTTCCTGGCTTTCGATTGGTGCTAGTCGGGTGTTGGCTTGTCGGGCTGGCTCTGTCTGGCTGGCTAGTCGGGCAATTGGCTGAGCTGCAGCTGTTCAAAGTCAACCAGAGGCCGGACCTCTGTCGGAGGAAATATCGCTGTTGTAAACCGGGGAAATGTAGTAGGCCTAGTTGAATTCTTCTTCCTTGTTTGTACCTGTGTTTTTCCCGAGATCCAACCCGCCCCCTCTTCCGGAGCTCCAGCTCGTTTGACTTTTTTTGACCGAACAGCAATGAGCGCAGAGGTTCAGTCCACCACCGAACATACATGCCGATGCAACGTAGCAAAGTGTGCCACTTGCATTAGATGTAGCAGGTGCGTTTGCGATCGCGATGGAAAACCGGTGGAAGTGAAGCTGTACCGCGAAGAAAGGGGAGGGGTGATTACGTAAAATTATGTGAATACGCTGATGACACCAAAAATAGCGACGAGACTAAGTACCTCTATGAGGCAGGAGCAAAATAGATCGCTCGAAACAACAATCGCGAAACAACATACAACAATTCCACTGAAGGAAGAATGAGGCTTTGCGAGTTGTTCCCATCGCTCGATATCGAGTTGCTCGATGACAGGACGGAAACACCCAGTGTTATTCTTGGCTTGGCGGCCAACCCTCGGGGATTCACTCCACAGAAGGGAAAAAATGCCATTTTTGGAGGTTTGAGGTGATGGGCTTTCCTAATACTCTTCTACTCTTTCTGTGCAGCTAATACCGGAATGACTCGGTTCTCATAGCACCCGCCAAAAATTGCTCGTTTTGGTCTCATTGACTAAGAGACGGTGTGTTTAAAAAAATTGTTCATGTTTATTTTGCCAAAAATCAAGTGGCATTGACTCCAGGCTAGCCTAAAGTAGTTCGTGATGAAAAACTCGCTTAAAATTTAATTTATGGCATCAATGCCCACTTTTCCTTATTTTTTGGTGTTCGGAGCAGCTGCGCATTCCTCGCAAAGGTTTTTGGCATTCTTGTTTCAAAACCCCGTTTCCTCTCAGTTTGAACTCGGTCATCATTTCCCTTCCCCACTGTTAAAAATGAAGCAAATTACTAACCACGCCCCGCCCCGCCCCGGGAATTCATGATGCGGGAATGCATCAATTTTATGCATTAAGAATTGTAGGCATCAGGAATTTTCTATTTATTTTTTGTTCACTGTAAAAAAAAAATCGAAGTTGCGTGCCACAACATGGATATGATGCAACGAAATTTAATTTTTACTTTGTTAACCTTAATGACGTTAACTGCAAATCTCGACCGATCGACAATCCTTTCAGTCACGTGCGCAAGGAGTCAAATTCCCCTTAATCTCCTTAATCCCCCCTTGATGAAAAGGATCCGCAATTGCTGCACACCCAGAGCCCCATCGAGAAATTTTTTGCAACGTGCTTGGGGTTATGCCTGAGGGAGCAAGTCGGAAACCTTTCCGTTCGATCTCGTTGTGAGCTCTTTGGGAAATAATTTTCCCATGAGAAAGGGTTCAAAACGTTCAAACGGAAACGCAGAAACTCTAAATGAAACGTCCTACGGCGTGCTTCCCTGAGAACAAAGAGAAATTAATATTGAAAGACGTGTGAAGGAATTTTATCATCCCAGGATGATAATTTTTTCTTTGAACCATGCAGTTTCAAATTTCCAGTGAATCCTTATTTTCGCCTTCTTCAATTACGTATTCGTTGATTGAAGTGAACATGGGCTTCATGAAACATTGAGAACAACTCCTATTAATTGCCGAGGCATTTCCCTTCAGTTTTCAATCCTTCCACGAGTTCCGAATTTGCTATCGCCTTCTCCGAGAAACGCCTCAGCCCCTGCAAGAAGTTCTTCAAACGTCTTTATTGCAACTCGCAATTTTCCATTCTGCTCGGATGGAATTCCGCGATGGAAATCAGGGCAACTTCTTGCAGACGTACGGCATAGGGGTATCGATCGGGTCATTAACGTTCCAGGAGGAAGTGGAGGCGGCGGCGCAGTCCCCGCCGCTTCCGGTGGGATGGCCCGCCTCCCACCGGTCCACGTTCGACGGGGATCCGTCCACCCATTCCCAGTCGCCGGAGACGGGACGACGGAGTCCGATCCAGATCTCGTTGCCTTCCGGACGAGACAGGGTGTCGTCGTCCAAGGACCAGACCAATCTCAGAAGCTCCTGCTCATCCTCTATGACGAGAATGTCAGTTCCAGGATATTCTAGACAATAACTCCTCGCTTCCTCGAAAGCGAACGATCGCGGCGAGACGTGGAAACAAACGGGACCCTCCCAACATCTCCATTCCCCGCCGTGAGACACGAGGGACTTGCACAGAACCGGTTTGTTTTCGGAGCAGTCCCGGTTCACCCAGCGATCTGGAGTCAGATGGATCCCACAATATGCACTGCCGCAGGTAAGAGGCGAATACTGAGGATCTTCGGACTGCCACATGTTGTGGTAATCATTAGGCGAGCCATCCGAGAACTCAAAGCTGAACGGATCGTCCTCCAGGCCACCTGTTGTCGTCGCTCCGATTCGAAGCGCCGTTCTCTTCGAATGCTTCTGGACGAAGAGCTGCTCCTCCCGCGAGTGGATGCTAGCCAGCTTGGCGTTCCTGGCCCCGCAGTCTGCCTCGGCGTCTTCGAAGTTCATTTCCGCGTCCGAGAAATAGTAACAATGCTCTCCGAATTCCCCCCAACCTTCTTCGCATTTCGAAACCGAAGCATACGTCAGACTAAATCCGAATCCTCGCTCATCGTCCGTGTCGGAGACGAAGTTGACGTGGAGAACGTTCCCGACTGACTCGATGATCCATGGGTGTTCTTGGCCGCACAGTACGTGGGAATCTCCCTCCGGATCCGTGATGGCCAGATAATCGCCCGGAAAGCAACCCTCTGCGTTCTCCAGGAAGAAATCGTTGAAAATCAGATGGATCTTCCGAGTTGACGGCACCTGGATGAACAAAAAGCTTATTATCCTTTGTTTCAAGTTATGTAGCAGGGACGGCCTTTAAATGAATGTACTGAAAAGGTCCTTTTTACTCGAGGTGATAATTCCGGTGAAAAGTAATTCATTGTAGCGGCTCGTTACTACGAAATGTATTTTCGTTACGGTAACGCATCACCTTCACAGCACCTATTGGGTAACAGCATACGGGTAAGTGTATTTATCCAAAATTCGAACCAAATTTCGTCCGTAGTGATAGTCGTATAGGGAGAAAGATAC